TCACTTGACTCTGATGATGACTTCCGCACAGGTTGTCGAAACGTCAGTCACTGCCACCGACAACAGTCCTTCTCAGGACTACACTCACCCGGACGATCAGACTACACCTTCACAAGAGATTTATTATTCAACACGCCAAATTGTTATTTCAGTGCAGGAGAATTTCGCGGGTATTTCTGGAGTACAAATATCGCGTGATATTTGTACTCGTCTCGGGCGTTATTTGTACTCAACAAAGCACAGTTGGGTAATAATAAGGCTTTATCAACTGAGTTGATGATGTTAATTGGTAAACGTAGAGACATTGTAACAATGTTGAGATGGATAAAAGTATTTTTTCCTAAAAGTTGGACTCAAGAAACTTTCACACCCAGTTTGTACAGAGACTGATTTGGCGTACTTTCAGGTGGAAAACTTATTCTGTGTTGGATCGCCGCTAGCAGTATTTTTGACACTTCGAGGGCTCAGACCACAAGACGACGTTGAAGATCACGTGTTACCAAAGTCTGTTTGCAAGCGTGTGTTAAATATTTACCATCCAGCTGACCCTGTGGTGAGATATTGGGATCCCTGCGATGTCGTTTCTTTACTCTTCTAATTATTATTATAATAATCAATTTTTTTTCTGCCGAACCAGGCCTACCGCTTAGAACCATTGCTGAGTGCAGACTATAGCAGCATTCCTCCGGTACAACTACACCGCTACGACAGTAAACAGTCAGGCTACACTGAAACTAAACCAACTGGTAAGATTTCCAAGTGGGGAGGTATTTTAGCGGCATATCGAGTTGGTTTCTCTAAACAAAAAACAGACGATGAAGCTAGTGATCGATCAAACAGCCCAAACAGTGAGGAAAATACAGAGGAAGACCTCGTGGTTGTACACAATGCCGAATCTGGGGAAGGCGCTCAAGGTAGGAACTGGCTGAAAAGGATTTAGCCGAGAAAGGTTTTCGTTTTAAATGAAATGAAGGTGCTTTCTTCCAAGAAAAATGTAGATAAGTTTCTCCGCGCGCTGCATGAGGTTCGCATGCTAAGAATTCTCCGTAACGTGATTGGAAGCTCTCCTGAGTGGCTGAGTAATGTTCGGAATGGAGTCTTCGAGACTCAATTATGAAGAGTTTTCACAATAGTGAAAAAGTCCACGCGAGAAGCAGCGTCATTTTGGCGGGGAAATTTGTCTACTAGACTACTACTTACTGGTTAGTAGAATCATATTACAGTGCAAGTGGTAGTGCCAGGAGGTGGCGTGGCCGAGTAGTTAAGGTGCTGGACTTCTAATCTGGTGTCCCGGATTCACTCTGCCACTCACTGGATTTGTTCTCGGTTGCCCCTAGTTCAACTCCTCCGCTGCGCTCTGTGAATAGTGGTCTGCCTCTTGCCAGTTGGACTCTTAAGCACTGTGTTAGTCAACATTGTGGCTGAAAAGCCCCGAAGGGGGAGCTTCAATTTATGTATTTATTTATACGTATATTTATTATTTATTATATTTTACATTGAAAAACAAAAGCTTTTGAAATTTAGCTATGCAAACATTTGCAACCACAAGGTGACGCGAGTTGCTCAACTGTAACCAATTCTGTTTGACCAATTAATACTTACAACCCGATAGAAATCATTTTTTAGCGTGTTGGTTTTTACTTTTAAACACATATTTCCTCATAATTTCACCCTGTGCTAACGGGCGGCGTAGACGACGAAGGAGCTTCATGCACTATCACCGACGGCGGTTCATCGACTTCTTCCAAGCGGACAGGTTGGATCGCGAGTTTGTTCGGTTCTTCTAAACCATCCACGTCCAGTAACTCCAGCCAGGAATCGGAAGAAACGTCAGAAACAGATGGCGGTGTCAAGAAGAAACCAGAACAAGCAAAAAATGAAGAACACCTCTCAGTACCATCGAAAGGCAAGTAATAAAATTTATTTAGATCGGAATATTTTTAAATCTCCTAATTTTGATAGGCTATTTTAATTATTTTATTTTACGACATTTCATTTTATTCCATTTTACGCACGACCCCACAAGCGTGTAGTCGCTTTAACAATTATCGTGTTTAAATAAAGTCTTTGTATTGTATTGTATTGTATAAACAAACTAGTGAATAAATGAATCAGTGGAATTAAACGCTGGCTCTTTGTCTGCCGCTTTCTGGTCAAACTGAAATTAGAGGCCTACTCTGGGACCTTAAGTCGCCTTAAGTTGCCTGAAGTCGCTATTGGTTATGCAATGTTATAAGGGTTCTAACCTTTCCAAGTGACTCCATTCACCCCACTCTGAACATATTGTGTTTTTTGCAAGGGATTCTGTAAATATTTTTAAGTTTTATAGAGAGACTGTTGCTAACTTTGATTGTATCACTTCAGTCAAATAAAATCGATGTAAGTCGCTTTAAATCACCTTAAATCGCCTAAGTCGCAACGTTTTTTCTACCAATTTGCTTAAGTCGCCTTAAATCGCCCAAAGTCGCCCAAAGTTACGGCGACTTAAGGCCCCAGAGTAGGCCTAGTTAAGATTAGGATGAAATCGATGTTCAGTTATTGAACGCTATACCATAGCAGCACAGGGATCCCAAATCTCCACGCCAATATCGTTCCTCGTTGTCTTCACGCCCGTTTACTAGGGCACCATCCACACTAATGCGTTATCGTTTTAAAAACGCATACCTTAGTGAAGCGTTTTAACCTGAAGACGCTGATGAGACTTTGTAAAACGGCTTCAGAAGTGGATGCGTTTTCAAACTGCTCTGTTTCGTTCGTGGACACGTGAAAACAGCCTTTTAAAAAAAATAAATGGCAATAAATGCGTCACATATGCACATAAATTGTGTGCGTTCCTAAATGTTAACCAAGTAGTATGAGAGCGTTGGTGAGAATACTGTTATGTTATTACTGTTAATTACTTAGTGGACGCTCTTCGTCACTCACAGTCATTTCTCCTCCGTTTCACTTTCAGTTTTAAAGGAACGACTCGACTTCACTCTCCGAGAAGGATACATGGAAAGTAACTACTGGTCTGCAGTCACCTCCCATGTATCGTACTGGGGGTCGTGTGATGTGACACGATTCGTTCTAGAGAATTGCCTGGATCCAGCACAAAATATGGACCAACCTTAAGATGATTGGAGAAAAGTAAGACATCAATATTTATATTGATAATTGTATGGTTGGTAGATAATCAGAAATTGCCTGGATAGCTATTATTCTTTAATTTCAAGTAAAACTGTCCAATTAAGGATTTATTTAAATTGTTTCATACTAGCCAAATTAATCCCAAATTGGACAGTTTTAAAAATTTAAAGAATGATAGCGGACTGAGCAATGCCCAAATACAACTGACCAGCTATATAATTAATAAGTAAGACTGAGGACTGCATGCTGTCCAATTTTGGAAATAATTGGATTCAAAAAATTTCTCTTACTACTAAATTGGACTCAGCCTACGGCCTCATCCAATTTGGGGCTTCCTCAGAATTTTTTTTATGCAGTTATTTCCAAATTGGACCGCATAGAGTCCCATTACATATACCAATGTAAGGACCTGGGATCTCTAGTAATTCACTTCAGTTAGTTCACTGAGAATGGAAATTTTCTTTACTATTTCTGGAAAATAACCCAAAGAACTAGAGCCAAGAGAATGTTTTTTTCAAATTTTATTCATTTTTGGTTAGTTACGCTTGCAAAAGCACTTCAGATGGACTATTTTTATCTACCTGTAAGTGTGGCTGGAATATGTTTTAACTCGAGGTGATCTAGAGTGGAGTAGCCCTGGCTTTATTGCAGTTTCAAAAGCTTGAATAGGTGCTATAGAAATATTATTTTGCAGCAGTTGTGTCGTAGGGCTCAAATGAAGAATGTTTGAGATGTCATTTAAGAGAAATTGTAATGAGATTTAACAGTGAGGAAGCGAGGCCTTCACAACGGTAGGCGCACAATCTTGAGGACGCCGTTGCGTTATGAACACGGCGTGAAAAAGTGTGAATTGCGTTGCGATGGATTCGCGCGCATGTCATTTCACTGGTCATTGTTTTTAGTTAAATCTACCATGGATGACACAAACTTATTCGTTGTAAAAAATTGTTTACAAACCCTGTATAGACTAGTTTATGTCAAATCATTACTTGGACAGAAAGAACTCCAAATTCTCTTCACTAATTTATAAGGAAATATTGAGCTGCTGGTTATGAGAATCACTAATCAGATCTTGGGAGGTAAATAATTTTAACGCAGTCTTGTTCCCCTGTTCTGGAAGTTAGGTCTGCATCTGCGATCAACCTTGTTCCCAGGGCCTTTTCCCTTAGTTAGGGGGTGGGGCGGGAAAGGGGAAAAGGCCCTGAGAACGAGGTTGGTCTGAGATTGTTGGCATATAGCCGGTTCTGTTGCAATTCAAAAGGATTTCTCATCACTAGCTATCTAAACTATTTTGAATACATAAAAAAATCTTAGGCTATTCATAAAATCCTATAAACAAATAAATAGTTTATCTTGATATTTAGTGTAAATATGTGACAAGCATGTGGACTAAAAAAAAAAACTGACTGGTATTTTTTACGCGGTGTCTTGTACTGAAAAATGTCAAGAATGGTTCAATAAATAAATCGTAAAGTTGTGCACAATGTCCGTTTGTATATTTTACTCCAATCTCTGTTTGCGTACCTATTCATTCCCAGGCCGCTTTTCCTCTTTAGCGGAAATATGGGGACCTGGCACGAGATATGGTCTAGGGGATAACGTCACGGTTTCGCTTTGCTTGGAGTCGAAGCTCGCTTAATACCAGGCCACACTCGTTGTTTCTTGTTAGGTTAGGTCAGCATTTTGGCGTCGTCGCTTGCGTACAATACATAACCATAAAGTGTGCAGACTTGTGCTTTGATGAAGTCTTTGAAGCGTTTTTTATGGCCCCATTTTTCTTTAGCGCAAGATACCTCGTCCTTTTCATTTTTTTATAAGTTCTTTCGGACCAAAATACAACAAAGTTATTGGGAAGAAGTTCCTGGACGAACATTGTATCCAACTTGTGACTTTTCTGTTGATGGAAGGTAACGGTGTCAGCGTATACATTTGAACATGGGCCGATTTAATTTTAATGCGAGAATATATCCGTAAGGCGGCTAAGTGGTTGGTTCGCCGGACATGGACTCCGAATCAAAAGGTCTGGGCCCGAGACCTGACCTGTGTTATTGGCGGGGACATTTCACTGTCACCTGTGAGGTTTATTGGAAGGCGGCACACGGCCGCGGAAATAACCTCGCGACCAGGCCTTTCCACCCTTTCCAAATTTCAATGGAGAAGCCCTAGAAACGAGGTCGCACATCGACAAAGGAAAATAATCTTACCCTGGTAGTATAAACTTTTCCAGCTTTGTTGATAGCCACATACACTCCTGTTTTTACATGTTTTATTCTTATTAGGCTAGTTCCGCAAGACTGTAGCTCAAACAGACCTGAAACAACAAAAACGGGGTATATCAGCTGCCGGAGACAGATCAAGAGATCTGGTATTATAATGGATTCAAGTAATATTTCTTACAAAGCCCACGCACCTTTCCTATTCAGTCTTATTCAACCATTATAGCTCTAACCACACATAGCCGTGCAAGATGAAGAAGCTAGAAGAAGTTGGGGTTGCTCTCAGCTTACTTCAAGCACTTCCTTCCCAAACTTCTCGCGTGGATCCATGCCTCGACAAGCGTATGCCAATTATCATGGGATTAGCCTCTTCCAGGTGCTCAGTTAGGAGCAGAATAGTAAACGTCACGATAGTAACAGCAGACTGAAAACGAGGGAGGCTCTTTACGTAACCCGACCCAGGCCTTCCTCGTTTTTTCACTCAACTTCTACCGAGCTTCTTTTCACTAACTGAAAGCCTGGAACAAGCTAAGCATGGACCAATTCCTGACCAACGCAGCTATCAAAAAATATTCACCCGCGAGATCAGTAATGTTATTTGTTCGCTAAAAACCAAAATAGGATTGTATTGAAAGGGGCTCATCTGCCCCAGGGCTGGTGTCCATCCCCCAACATATAAATAATTATTTTATCCTTTTTCGCCCACAATGATCGTGGTGACGTTACTTGAAAACCAAAATAGGATTGCCTTGAAAGGGATTTATCCCCGCAGGGATGATTTTCACCTTTAATATGAATTATTACTTTAACCTTTTTTGGCTAACAATGACTGTCGTGACGTCAATAAAAAGAAAACATCCCAATTTAGTCTGAAAAGGGGGATTCATGCTGACGTCATTGTTTACATTTTTGCTCATTTGCATACGGCTTTCCGTAAAGAAGGAAGCATGTTGGCTACAAATTGACTTCAGACAGCTAAAGAGCTAGAAAACCTTAGTACATGGTGAAATTTTTAGTTCTTTGGGTGTAATATTCAAGGAGAAATAGTCCATCAAAAACTGCAAAATTTCTGGATGGCAAAAGCGCTAATGAGCTCATACATTCTATGTAAAATTTTGAGTTTTTAAACCCGTGTTGCACAAAAAGTATTTAATGCATCAGGCTCGTATTCATTGGCCGAGTTAATCGTACTTTGACCTTTCGATATTCAGAACTGATTTATTTTTAGCTCCATCAGAAACTGAATTGCTTATGCTAATGAGGCAAATATTGTAAAACAAGGATTCCCATATATATTGGTACAATATCAATCAAGAACATGAATATTCATTTATTTTGGAATAGTCATGCATTCCTTGCTAAAACTTCTCTAAAATAAGTGAGTGTCGTGCAATGAAGCCGTTTTAGCAGACTTATTTTCGTATTAGTACTTACATCTCCTCGCTGGCTGACAATATGTGTCATTCACCCCATGTAATGTTTCATTTGACAAAACCGTCAGATGAAATCTCAGTTTACTCCAGAGTAGAACCAACCTCTTGTGAGTAGGAGCCACATTTCCGTCACAACTTCCTCTGGGATTAAAAGGCTTTGTTACTTTGTATCTCCTTGGTTGCAGACCGCTTCCACGCAATTTTGTTCTTGAACTAACGCCAGATGGCCTTGTTATCATAACAAACACAGCAATGGATAGAAGTAGCTGGCGACCAAACAACATATTAAAATTAGAAATGAACCTAATGGAAACTTAACTATTAATACAAACAGTCTCTCAGGTCCATCAATTTGTATATCACAGTATTGGACTGGGAATTTTTCTGCTATCGTGGTAATATTTTTAAATTGCCACGTCTGTAGTCTACCAGTCACGGTCAGTGCATCAGGTGAATTTCAGCCTAAATTCAGTGTTCACTTTTTCTTATTGCAATCTGTTTTCATGGGCCTCTATTGTTTATCATTCTGGTTCTGTGTTTCTTTATTTTTTCTTCTTTGATGTGTTCGCTTACCTTAACAACCATTTGTTTCAATGGTTTTATTTTAATTCAAGATACATGACTATGACGCAGAATTGACCTCAAAATTTCATGAGCAAGTTTAAGCATGATGTCGAATTTCAGCTGTCTTTCTGTCGACCGCGTTAAAAATTAAGAAACTTTATCCGTTTCTTCAAGAATGAAAATTTGTATTTTTCTTATCTATTTTTCTGTTTGACGTTTTCTAGCTTTACCAGAAAATAAATTGAAATCAGCGACGATTTTTTTTCTCTCTAGGTATTTCGTGGAAATCTAAAATATTAGCACTTGTAATTTGTCATCGTTAATGGAGCAAAAAAAAGTTTCGACGTCAGGGTTTAATTTTACCCCAATTACACGACAATGGCTTTGTCTCGAGAATAATTTAAACCAATTAGAACAAAGCTTAAGCTTCATGTTGCACGCCCCACGTGCACTGTCAAACTAAATTGCACGTGTAAGTTAGGTACCCTTTAACCACCACGTGATTTTTAATTTCCTTAGAGTGAGTAATTCAGTTGCCTAGTCACGAAAAAAAATGAAACTAGATATAAAGGAGAAAAGTACTCGTCAGGCGGATACAAAAATTATAACCGCGGCTCCAAAGTTGTTGCTACGAATCCAAAGTTATAATTACGGATCCAAAGTTTTTTCTAGGGATCCGAAGTTATTCACTTTGGATCCTTTGAAGAGAGTCTGATTAGGGTTAACCGATAGCTGTAAAACGCCAAAAGTATATAAAGCTGTAAGAGGTAAAAATTGAAAAATGTAATCGTTAGTCGTAAAAAAGTTTGCCTTAAAACGGCCAAAACTTTAACCAGTTGCCCTAAAAGCCATCAGCCCATTGGAGACCCCCGTGAAACTTTATAAATGTTTACATCAATATCCACTTTTTTCATTAATTTAGAGTGGCACTTACAGGCCGCAGTAAGAGACAGGTATTACTGAAGATCAAATTGGCCAATATGTTATCGTTTGCCAGAGAAAATAAGACAAAAATGATCGTTATCAATTTTCACTTAGCTGCCACCATACTACATGCTTATAAACTGTTTATCGACGTTTCAATAGCGTGACTCAACTTCAAGTTTTTGAAGAAAAAACAAGTACGCAAACAAGCTTTTTCTTAAGGATTTCAGTACCAGAAGCTCCCGTGATATTACGGCCGCATTTTTGACGCAGTACTTGAAGTCTGTGTTCCTTTCAAAAAGTAATTTCAAGTTTAGCGAATATGACAAAAAATTCAGCTAGCCATTTTAAAATTTAGTGTAAGATTTTGCAACTTATAAAATAGTCTGCTTACTCTAACTTGCTGATAAATTCAATTGGAATTAAAAAAAAAAATTAAGATATTTTACGGCTTCTCCTGCGACAGATTTGGTGACTTACTTATCACGATTCTCAACTCAAAAACAAGACTAGTTTGATTTTTGGAAAATTCTTTGAAAGGTCCGTTTTTCATGGTACACGCGGTGTGGTATTTGAAACAAACTTTATTTTGAACGACGGAATGTTAGTGCGGTTGGTGAATCTAATATACAACCGACGTACAGACAGTTACAGCGTTTGTTTTACTTCAAACCAGTACCGCGTTCACTTAATGTTTTGGCCGTCGTCTGCAAAAAGCAATGTTAGGCTTTTTCTAATATTGTACCCATGTTGCAGTTTTCGTTCTCCACAGCGAAAGCAATTTGTTTCAACAGACAGTAATTATGAGTTAATTGAATGATTAACTGAGTGCACTTCCGAACACATGTCAGCCTCAGTGAAGATATCGCGTTAAATTTATTTTTAAAAACACCTACCATTCTAAACTCCATTTGACCAAGAGAGCTCTTCTTGTTGCTGCTTGTTCACTTCTAAGCTTGTCCCGAGAAACTGTTCTCGTTGCCTCGCCCCCAGACTGATTTAATGCCTTCCATTACCTCACAGGGCGTGTCACTTCACTTTTGTTTTAACGCTGCGTGAAATAAAGGAAAAAATTTCAGAAATATTTGTTTCTATATCATACATACCTTCGGGTCCTTTCTAAGCAGAGCTCTATTAAGACGTGTATTTGCGGTGGTGCGTTTTTTAAAAACTCTTAAGACCACTCGAAATATTTCTTTTTGCCGCAAATCGCAAATCGCTTGTGCTTTCGTACGTTTAAAGGCGAGTCGTGTCTGGGAAATAAAAGGCTTTTTGTTTGTATTCGACTCAGAAATTTCACGGTCTACAACGTACACTGACTACAATGGTTAAAACAATGTTTACCCCAAAATACCGCACTGTTTACTCCAAACCAAGCCGCGTGCAATGAACTAATATGTTCTCTGATGATTTCTAGGAAAGATTCTGTGCATGCTACTTCAAAATCCCGTAGCTAAGCCGCATATTGGGCTTCGATACAAAACTGAAAAGTAAGCAAGTGCGACAAGTAATTAATTACGACCATTATTAATCGTTTATCTTCAATAGATAAGTAAACACCTAACTTTGACTCACTTCCTCTCTCAGTCTAGAGGCATTCTTCGAACATTACCAAGTTTCTCATGTTCACTCAGCAGATTGATATTTCCTGTGTACCTAAGTTCGTTCAAATGCTTCTTAAACTAAAACTGCTAAAACATTCCATGACAGATCGCTTAGTAGCATTCAATTTAAGCCCGCTGCCGGCAACCTTTTAAATGACCGCATATTGCGTTTCGCTTGCGCATTTCCAGCAGAGAAAGTGTTCTACAAGTGTTGAAGACGCATCAATAAAAGTCAGCCTGAAGAGCTGCATGACAATAAAATATCGCTTTTGCGGTAAACAAAGGGGTCTTCCATTGTTGATATTAGCGGATAATACAATTTTTTTTTTCCTTCAGAAATCGCCGACTTTTTTTGAAGTTCCTCAATGGTTTGCCGTCCTTTTACGAAACTCAAATTACAAGACCGGTTTTAGCTAAGTGGTAATAGTTCGCGGTCTTCGCCATGGTACAAGTGCCTCTATTGTCGGTCTTTCCTAAAAGCGGAGAGTCTTTTAGAATTTTAAAAACGATATTATTCACCTTAACAAATACCATGAAGTGTCAAAGCAAACAAAATTGAACAATTATGTGTTCAGACGGATACCAGGTTTGTGGAAATAATATCCAAGTAAATCAAACCCAATTTAAATACAATTACATTGAATTACTGCCCATTCTAACACAAGAAACAAAACGACAAAGATCGATATTAATACACCGTTCAATGACCTAGGGGTCAGTAAATATTAATGTTATTTACTCTAGCTTCAGTTGACAACTTGTTAAATCCTAAGAAGAATAACCGTCCAATCGTTATTACTTGAGAAGTTTGAAAGAAGGGAACTATATGAGAACTGAATTTGGTTACGAAACTTTCTCATCAAATTTGAAGTGGTACTTGACTGCCGGGTCAAGAAAGATGACTTGCGGTAAAAAGCCGTTTTTGTCCGTTTCTTACGCGAAGAAAGCCGGAAATTCTCTTTCAGCCTCAATCCACTTCAACATACTTTATTATCTACGAAAACCGCAGTGTCTGACTCAAAATTCTGTTACAATATCAGGGCTTATAAAGTTTTGGTTCGCACGTAAGCACGAAAGATGAAATCTGCAAAGGCAGGATCTTATTTAAGAACCTATCTTTGTAGAATTTGCGCTATAATCAGAGGTCACTGCAAAGTTTGATACCGATCAGTAGATTGTACCAAGTTAGCATGTGTGACTCGTCCATGATCTTTCCAAAGAGATTGCGTGACACTCAGGAAAGACAACTTTTTAGGCAGTTGCGCAACAGACTTTGGTGCCCACAAAAATGTTTCTCTGCGCGAAATCAAATGGGTATTAAAGTTTGGAATTGCCAACTAGCATAGTTTCAAGACTAAGAAGGAAATAGTTTTTTAATGACTTGGCGACCTCGGCAAGTTTGTGGCTTGCAGTCTGATCCGAAAACCTTATGCCCGGAAATAGCAGACGTAAATCTGAGATTCAACAACACCTGTGTCTAAAATAAAATGCTCGATATAGAAAAATATGTAAGTAAGGCATTTTCGGGCTAAAACTAAAAAATACCCTTAACGACTACATAGGGACATCCTGGGTGGTCCGGTTCTAATAAAATCAATATTTGATATTTGATCATGGTAATAGTTTGTTTTTCCTTGTACCGCAGATCCGTGGATCTAGAAGTTTCCGTTTCATTTGATCTTGACCTTTAAGCTGATATCAAATTGGGCCCAAGTTTCATGTTAGTCTTGAACCATTCTGTGATTTTTATCATTTCAAACTTTGTTGGAAGAATTTTCCAAAGTCGATCTAAGGCTCCGGTGTAACAACGAGACTAATGCAGTGTTCATAACAGCAATTACTGAAATATGGTCTAAGTAATTATATAGATGAATGGTCAGAAGGGTTAAACTTGATATCCGTAAAACAGTGCTCCATACATAAAGTAGAGCGAGTATAACGTGTAATAGGCAGAAAAAAAATCAATCAACTACATTTCATCCCTAGAGATGAAAAATCAACCAATGTAGTTGATTTATTTTTTTCTGTTTATTAGATGAATAGTTAAATGAAAATAGAAAAACTGAAGTAAATGAATTGAAAAAAGAATAGGTAAATGGTGAAGTCTTTCAGAAAAATTAACATGCAATCAAATGTATGAATTAAACAAAAAGTAAATACGAATGGTCTTTATTGAACTTTGCAATGCAGAGATAAATATAATTACACAAACCTAAGATTCAAGTTTACATCGTTACATAACTGTTGGAATTTCAAATGATTAAAAACGAAACGTTGCGGATTATATAAATTTTCGTGTGATGACTGGTTGCAAACGACGATTCTTATGCCTTTCGAATATCAGTTTTAGAACTTTATAATACGGAAGGACGCGAAAAAACGGAAGAAATTCACAGACGAAGTTATCCCTCAAAGTTATCGAGGTTTTGATACAATTGCTCTAAAGCATGCTCTTTGTCATGTTTGATTTTCTTTACTCGGTCTGGCTTTCAATCTGGTTTATTATATTCCGTTATCATGTGTTTTTTTTTTTTTTTTCAGTTTCCTCTCGCTGACAGAATCCTCCTTGAACAGTGACGATTCACGATCGATCTCTGATTTAAGAGTCGTTTCGTCAAATATTTTCAACCACACGATATAAACACATTTTTTAACAAAGTTTGGCATTTGTGCCAGGATAAACTGAGAGAGGATGAATTACTCTTGACGTTCCGTTTTGTTACCTTCAAATGAGCAGCTGTTTTGCTCACTTTTATTCCATTCATTCTGTCAAACGACAGCTCACTGAGCTCACTGAGCTCACTGAGCTCACTGAGCTCACTGAGCAAGAACTTGAGGAGGAAAGCAAATCATGGGCAAATTCTCTCTGGCGAGTGCTATATGAATCTTGTATCGGAAAAAGTTCCATTGACTCTTTGATAAAACGTTGAGGAAAACATTTCCTGTATTTGTATTCCGTGATGAGGAATGATTTCACTTTTGGGATGTACACCATTAACAGGACGTGTTCCAGCTGATACATACGCAAGCATCGAGAGTTTTATAATTATGCAAAGATTTGCACGTTAGCTATACCGATTTTCCAAAATCTTCATCAACATACCTTAGTTTCAACGAATTGGAACATCAGTCTCCAATCACCATTTAATGGAAAGTAAAGGAATGTCAAAACACTTCATTTATTTTTATATCCTTGAGCCGTAAATATGACAAGCATATGTTCATTTTCAATCAATGACTCATTAGCTTACGAGAGACAATGACTGTATTTTCCTCCAGGAGCCCTGTAACGCACGTACGGCAAATAACCACAAGATATACGTTAAAACACATACGAGTTCAGTGATACGTGATTTATCCCATAGTTACGCGTGCAGTGTGTCAAGATAAGGACCCCGAGTTGACAGATTTTTCATGAACTTTGTGCAGTTTTAGATGTGCAGAGCCGATTTCATATGACCTACTATGGAAATCCTTTCAGAAAGAAATGAAGATCAAGTATTATTGTAAATTAAATCTGGGACCGTCATAGATGTCATAATCAGCAGAAACCAGATCAAGATTTCAATTTTAGATCTGAAATCAAATATCACATTACACAGCTACAGACTTCACGAGATTCCTTGGTCTCTTGACTGTATTAAAGCAACAGATAAAAAAAATTCAGAAATTTACTTTTAATGATTTAGATAAGGAAAACATTTAAAATTTATTAAACTTTTGAATAATTCAAGGCTCTGTCACCAGATAGCAAAAAAATGTTTTGGATCATTTACACGCCCATTTGTTTTTGAAGTATATCGTAAATTTCGGAACAAAATTTTGCAATCAATGAGTTACGATAATATACTGTCAGCAAACTGTACGTGCCTGAGAACACATCGTCCATTTCACAAATTCTGAGAGAGAGTTGTTTCTTCCACAAGAGGATTAATAAGATATGTTTTGGCGGACTTGACGGTGACGAAATTTCCTTTTTAATTAAATGAGAAAAAAAAATCACTCATTAATAAATTTAACATGGCCTTGTTTTTAGGGTGTTATTTCCTATTTGATATCCATTTAAATTTTATTCGATTAAGGAGATCAGTCCAACTCATTTCTGACAATTTCTTGAATATCAAAGCTAGTTTCCTTGGATAATTGTGAGGCTTTATATCCAATGAATATTTTCTCAGTTATCATGGGTATATACTTCAGTTAGTAACTTCTACGTTTAAAGATAATTTGACAAAAGCAGCTAAGTTTTATCTCGAGTAAAGTAATGCATGTTTACTTCGCAAAATACGAGGGACGTTTCTTGACCAGAAAACCATTCGTAGGAAATTAATCGAAAGACAACATATTTCTCACGTACTGCTAACGCCTATTTTAGCTTTCATTTGTTGAAATGATCAATTGCGAGAGCGACTGAGATTTGCATTTTGCCACAGGCTTGCCGACAAGCAATATTGCACGCAGAGTCTTGCAACCTTGTAGCCAATCCGAAATGCCGAGGATATGCAATCAGCTCAGCAATTGCATTTATGAGATGAATGTCTCATGTTGTTTGATGTATGCTTCCGCTAATGCAACTATGCTACTGTCAGATAGATAATTACGTCGCTTCTCGTTCACAATCGCATGCGCGTAGCTCTGACTGAAAACTTACTACTCACAGGGATGGTTTTCTTTTGTATTAAAAGCTGATATGTTCACCTTGTGATTGTTATTGTTTGTTAGTATTTTTTAACACCGTAGATCTAATTTAGTTGGGTGAATGCCAAACTGTTAAATAAATCGGTGCAAAATAATTCGATGCAAAATTTTCGAGCACATTGCACAACTTCGGCTTGGAAGATAAGACTGATTGAGATATGCCCAGGCAGTTAGCTGTAACTCATGGGCAATTTGTTAAACATCCAAAAGAACTAAGTTAACCTTTTTATTTAATCAAATAACGTCATTACTTCTCGCATAATATCGAAACACTTCGTTCCTGATGATCTCAGCCAATTTAAGTCCAATTCATCAAATTGCAAAGTATTGCAAAGAGATGCCCTGATTTCCAAATCCCGCAATGGGCTTGAACAGAACTGTTCTTTATCATTCAGTGGAAGGCAGTTCCGTTTAAACTTTGCACGCGTACATTTTACGAGCATTGATCTCTCACTGACTGAGTACAGCACTCAAGAGATTTCTACGCATTCTTCTTCATTTTCAACACAACATTGCAAGTTTTGTACCTACATAGTGTCACTAACCTTGGTAAACTACATGTCTCGGAGTTTCCACGCTGCATTCGTTGATATTGCAAAATCACTACAGGATTCCTTTTGAAACTAAACGCTTCACAAGATAGCTCTGAACTGTCAAAGACATAAAAAATGACCCTAATTCCTAGGGGTTGTTGGCGTTTCGGGTGTAGAAGTGTTGAAAGTAGATTGATTGTCTGACAAATGCAATGACCTAATTGGTAATGCTGTTGGCTTTCATAAAACTGTCAAACAATTCATGGATCAGTGTTAAAAGTAGCGTTGGTGGAGACAGTTGGAGAATTCCAGCTTCAAGCAGATCACATTTTCAATCTGGACCTTTTAAAATAACTCAACAGTGAACATTCAAGATTGTAAGCATGAACTAGACTGAGTTTCCATGTTTTAGGACGTCGTGTGATATGTCAGAATCCTGCTGGTAATGAAGTAAGAGGATCACCAGCTCTCCCAGAAAAGTAATGAAAAAATCTGTCTAGGGAACAAAATGTCTCACCGTGTGTTTAATTTTGATCAGTGTGGTGGCTAATTTAGATCTGAGATTCTCAAAGCGAGCCAAAATCTGACAGTATGTTGCTCGTAAGCTGATTTTTATCGGGCTAATTGATTGTTTGTGGCGAGACTTATCAAAACGCATAAATCACTCGATGCAGGTTGTTATCAAGTTGCGTCCGGGTTGTATGATACTAAAGCTTCGATTACTTAATCGTTCTATGAATGAAAACATATTTGATCTACTTAATTTACTATATACAAATTTTTAGTCGTAAGAAATAGAAGTTCTTCCTCTCGTGACGCAACTGTTAACTTTTTAATTTAATCTTTAATGATAGCGTGACTTATTTTCTGATATCGCGTGAGAATTTAACGTTGCGTTTCGGGTATTTTTGCGGTTCCCCTCGGCAATAAAAGCGACATGGCTTACTCATTAAGCTTACCCTTAGTTAACTTCTTTCGTATGCAGTGCTCTGTTAATTAAATTAATGTCGTTTATAACACCGAAGAAGATCACAGATATCGAGTATTCATTCTTAATGAAGACTCAAACTGTTACCAATTGATCTTGCATCGATGCAGATTTCGTGGCAAGAAGAACAGAGCGCCGTTAATCAGGTAAACAAGGGATTTATCCCTACTTTAGGAATAGCTGATTTTTAGAAGTACTCCAGGTCTCAGTTTGACCTTTAAATGCAGATAAAAGATGATATCTCGGAATGTATTTGAGCAAAGGGCTAGGAAAGTATTTCGTCGGAATCTTGAGCTAAATTACAACATCTGTTTCGGAATGAATAGGAAATTTCAGTTCCTCATTTGAAAGACTGAAAATTTATTCATTTGATATCTCGTCGCTCCATAAATACCTCATATTTACGAATATGAATATAGAATATAGTTTATATCTGACCACTTGCAGCCCAGAGGCTGAATTACGGGCGCAGTGTAAGGTTGAGAACAGACGTCACCATATCAGGCGCCTCTGGCAGCCGCTTCAGTCTATCGATCTCACCTTCCCACCCATCCCACCCCAGGGGAGGACATCCATCACACAGTAATCGTGTGTGGGAAATTAACGTCTCCTACCCCAACCCTGCAGGAGACGGGACCTCCATTTATTCGTCCCTATCCGAGAAGACTAGAATATCTAACCATTACTTGATGTTATAGAAAGGTAGCAAATTCTTCTCAATTATTTTAAGACCTTGAGTGTTGGTCCGGCCGGGGCTCAAACCCTCGACCTCCCGCACAACAGTCCAGCGCTCTATCCATTGAGCTAACCGGGAGGTTAATCGGTTAGCTAACCGGATGATTACGCCAGAATTTGTACTATTAATAATTATCTTGAAAATATCTGTTACTTATGCCATTTGATTCGCCTGTTGCCTTGAACCAGAAAGAATTCTAGCCAGTCACATTGTGGTTTGAAATATACTAATACAAGGTTTTTATGGAGACAGATTTAAGCCAATCGTGTTTTTCATCAAAGGCTCGTACATGTTTTTAATTTGTCGGAAAAGAACAATTTCCTCTGTGGGAATCACACTGAGGTGCCGCGTGTCCATCGATCACAGAATACTCTATTGTGACTAAACTGACCATTAACTTTAATGCATAACTTGCTCTAAGCCTCTGAGCTGAAACAGCCGGTATGTTTTAAACTGAGCGACGTTCACCTTGAGGGAAATATGTTGATTTCGCAACATTCGTTTTCCATTTTCATCATTGGTAGAGCCGAGATTACGCTCTTGTTTAGCGAGGTTGGCAAAAATTCAGTTTACTGTAAGACCTCCAGAGAGCAAGATCAAAGACGCAGCCTAACTAACTGATTTGTAAGCAGTATGAGTTTCCTTTTCATCAGACATCGACTGACCTTCTGAACTACAGCATTCGTGCAATTGTGAATGGTTGAAAAACCACACAGAAATAAAACATAGGTCTGCCCGAAATCGTGAGAATCCAGGGAATAAAACTTGAAGGATTTCGTTACAACGCTAATAATTCAAGCTACACGATGGCGATACAGTCGGTCCAGGTTAGGAGCTGGTTAAAATAGTTTGTGGTTATTCCGTGGTTCTCTACAGTCGTCTCAGTTGTGACGTCCCAGAATTAGCTCTTGTGCGGAGATTGGGGAGAGAGAAAAACGAAACGCGAAGGGGGTAATGAAGGACCCCTCATACTGCCCCTCTATAGTCCCCTTAGGAATATCTCAAACGACGCAGCCAGTTGCACAAATGATTATGTGTATCTGATCACACTCTCAAACATCCTCGTTTAGAATGATTATACATTGTTGCAGAAGAAGAGGAATGGAATGGACTTCTGTACGTGTCCGAAGAGGAATCGTTGGATATACAGCGGGGTTAATACGAGTTTTCAAACTGTTAAGTTGCAGATGATCTAAGACCGTTAAAAAAAAAAAAAACCTTGTACTGTTCAAATAAGCGTCCTGCTAAAGTCCGGTACCCCTCTGTGCTGCATAACCTGACGTAGAAGATAGAAAAAGTCGATTGTACGTCTTACCGTGAACGTTTCCTGCATGCGGACGACCTAACTCCGAAAATCGTTACCAAGATCTGTGAAGAGGTCCTCAGATAAAACTCGTCGTGGCCTTTTCGCCTTATCAATGAGTGTTTCAGTGAAAATATCTGACAAAGAATGGCAAACTTGAGTTGATTTGTAGAGGAATGCCTATGATTTTCCGGATATCTTAAAACAAATTTCGTCCGACCACTAAACTACTTTGTTCACGAGAGTCATCAAACAGGAAATTAAAAGTCTTTGATTCAAAACATCTCACCTCCTTATCTAACAAACAGCGTTATTTCCTAGAGCTGCAATATGTCAAATAAAACCGTCTTAAGTCTCTTTCAAGGGTCCGCTCCAATTAAGCATCGTCAAATCTGAGGAGTATTCATTATCAGTCGGGGTTACAAAATAAACAGACAGAATTTCAATGCAAGGAATTAAACGTTATTAAAACCATTATTACATCATGAGAAAACAATCTACGGCACGAACCCGAGTGTTTACTAAGATAATGGGTTTTTTTCGCGAAAGCAATGAGCTGGCCTATAAATGAAACTTTTCACGCCCGATGATTAGGCCATTAAAATAAATTACAGGTAAGTTTCTTTTTCTTATCACAACAATTGTAAATACCAGCCTTGACCCCATTTCCTGATCCAATTGAATTGATCTTTTTTTGATTGTGCGAAATAAGTAAGAGCACGAATTCCCTAAGAACGTACAAACTTCCTAAACAAGAAAAGAGTCACACACTCTAAAAAGTGTTCTGTAATGTTTTGTTTAGTTCACTCAAAAGCCGGAAAACCATTGATACTTCTCAAATATAGAACGCAAGGTCAACTGTCCTTTTAAAGCTATATTTAAACATGTATCAATAATGGACATTTCATTGAATACGTCAAATTTTCATACGAATAATCTTTGGATTCTGTAAATATCTGGACTTAAAGAAATCTGGTGGGAAAAATTTGGGTGAAAACTGTACAACTTCAAACAAACCATCACCTCCATCGGAAATAACTATGAAGCTGTAGAAGTATCTTTTTTTCAAGCTTTGGTCTGCCGACAGGAAAGGGCTATTTAAGACCATTTCCGTTCAATTTCATACCGCCAGGTCACGAAATGGAAGAGGAGACAGATTTATTATTTTTCAAAAAGGTGGATCATTGTGGAAACTTGTAATTCTAGAGTTTAAATGACATTGGTGCGCGACCATTTTGTTGAACCAAAGTCCTCTTATGCATTATCCTCCGGTTGTTTTTCACCAAGATTATTAATTTTTCGAGTTCATTTTTACAAATTATTTGATAGGGACGTTAATCTACAGGCCGAGTGATCCTTCGAATCACTCGTCAGTTAGGTTAGAAATAACTCAAAATAGCTCTCTGTCATCACAGATTTGGAGTATAAAATCGAAGAATGTCGTTTAGGAATTTTTTCTTTCTTTAGGTCTTTCACCATTACTTTTTCTACAATTTAGTATTTTTGAGATATCGGATACTGTACTCACGGTTCTTTCCTGACGAACAGCGGAGGCCGTAATGAATTCTGAATCAATTTGTGTTTGGTAACAGTCAAAGAATTTGTTCAGGGTTGAATAAAATGTACAACTTATCAAGCCAATACTTACGGAATTCTTTCTTAAGTCCGAGTCTTGATACAAGATGCCTGTTAAATCCTGGTTGAAGTTAAGGCAAATGCATGAAATTGCACGATTGTATCAAGCTAAATAGCCCGGCCCTACACCGACAACTTCAAGTTTCCAATACCCCCCTCCCATCCCTCCTCACGAAGATCCGGAACCTAACATGCCCCTCGCCATGCCCCTAGGGCATGATAGCGCGGTCAACCGCGTTCATGAAAAGCGCCACTAGTGACATGACAAAAATGATAGCAACTCTGCTTTTAACAAACAACGAAGACCCATCCGGTATACAGATTGGACGGAAACACGTGTGGTAAAAGTATCCCGCGGTAGAAGATAGTGAAAAAACAAACAAACAACACAAAACAAAAGAAAAGTAAAAACGGTCCAAAGGCCTGATCTTCTTCCCTTCCCCCCCCCCCCCCCTTCAACTAAAAAGATTTTCCGACCCAAGCCTTGTCAGACTTCCGCCACGCGACTATCGTAGCCGGCTAAAACAATAAGACAAATGAACCGCATTAATAAGTGAGATTTGTTTTTATTTCCAACCGAACTAGCAATTAATTTTTCGCAATACTTTCAATTAGCAAACTTTAATGCGGCAATTTCAGTCGATATTGTTATAGCTATTTTTAAACCATTCTGAGAGAGCCAGTGTGAACTTACAGTAGAATTCCACCGATCTCGCCTTGCGCAATTTAACTGGAATAACTTAAATTAAATAATCTTGCTTTCCAACTGAATGTATCTGTATAACAATAGTAACGAAAGCGTACACGTGGTTTTATTAAATTAAAAGGGAGTTAAAGCACAGACGTGTTTGAAATGTGGTCTGCAGTTGGAGGATTTCTCTCCTTTTTACAATGCAGCGTTCAGTTTAAAATGTATAAACGATGGCTTTGTGTAAAGGCACGACAGATCGAAGTAGTCCCATTTACTTCCGGTCGCCGTCCTGGTGTCAAAATCGTCTGTGCAAAATATTTTGTCTCATTTGAGGGGCCGACCATTTAACTTTTGAGGGGGGGGGGAGGGGTGATTTTGAAAAAAAATTCCTCCAAGCGCTTGTTGGAAGAAAAAAATTGCATGCAGCCCAAATGTAACAGAAAAAATGTACCAAAAATCGGAAAAAATATCCTGCACAGCAGACTGCTAGAAAAAAAATTTCTTGACCACCAGAAATCACCCATCCCCCCTCAAAAGTTAAATGGTCGGCCCCTACCAAAGATTACTTTAGGTCGATTTCACACGACCAAGTTTTACCATAAATTTCAGTGAATACAATTTTGTTTCTTCTTTGTTTGCGCGACTTGAAAAAGTTAGGTGCATTAAGGGTCAAGTGCCCTCGAGACCGAAAGATAACGTCTTAAGAGGACTTTATAAGAAAAAATAGCTCTTGTGAATGAACGAAATGTGAGAAAATAAAACCTATAAAGGTTTCTCTTAATCTGTTGATCAGACTTGGTTACGAGAGCAAGACGAATTAGCGACAAAATAAACTTCGGGTTTTGCATGAGCGATAGATCAAGGAAAACTTGGTCGTGTAAGAATGGCTCATCAGAAAATAATTCATCAGTGACCGGCTTTAAAAGTTTCTTAAATATCTTTTACCGTGATACAGAAATAACATCGCAAGAAAATTAAATCCCGCGTGGAAACTAGAGATCATCTCCAGCTCCCACGCGATCTTTAATTCTTTACTAGGCCCCCGCTAGTTCAATTGAGCTCTTAGAGCCGATCTCAGATGTGAGCTATTTACACAGTTTAAAGCGATTTAATATGTTCTTCTGTAAGCAGGTTCATGTGGCGTATCGTCGGGTCCATTCCCTCGCTATTCTGTCGTGTTCCTCGCGGTTAGAAATGTATTGAGCCGCAATGTTTCCCACTAACGGATCCGCTGAAAACATAACAGTTATACAAAAAAGAAGAAAGTGAAATAAAGAAAAACGTATCTTCGTCTTGTCAAGAGCGTAAGAAAAAGAAAAAGTTCTGCTTCGCGAGAGAGACACCTTCAATTTCCGCGCTCAGATAGTGTCAGTACCATCACATTTTCATCATATCGTTGCCCCCGCGTTCACACCAAAAACACAACCACATAATGACCTTTCTATGCCGTTTTTCTTAAGTCGATTTATCGTAATTTGACTTGACACTCGACACAACTAACAAATCGATCGGAATGACATCTCTATCGACGCTAATCAAGTCTCGCAGCCGATGAGAACACGACAAGATAGACCAATTAGTTTTGTAGCCTCTAAACATTTCCTTCAGACTAAAGCAGTTGAGAGAATTTTGAGTTACATCACTTGATCGACTTGTTCAGTTTGCAACACGGAGGGTGATAGTTCACGGTGCGAGATAGGATGAGATCGAGAGGAGCGAAAAAACGAGGGAGGCTGGGCCAGGTCAGGTTGGGTAAAGAACGAGACTCGACCCAGACCTCCATTCGCCGCTAGTAGAACACCGTTTACGTCGAACAGGCTAGGTGTTACATTAATATGACATACTCTAGATGATAAGTTTCTACATTTTTGTCACGTGTTTGATAAATATTATACCAAAATTCACTACCTAACTAGGGAATTTCGCATTCAATTGTATAAGTGCGAAGTCGGTTTTTCCTTGAGTCGCATAATTGAATAAAAGTTAAAAAAGAAAAAAAAAAAAGGAAAAAAGAAAGCAGTAATGAGCGATGCAAGAGATGCAATTCAACTCACAACGCTACGCTAAATACTTCGCCTCTTTAGCCAATCAGAATGTGAGATTTTATTCAATCACACATTTTATAAAAACTATTGAGAGATTTTACAAGCTAATCAAGTCTCGGAATTGAAACCACATTACCTGGATTGCAGTCTGTCAAAAGGGAGCAGACAGAAAGAAGAACTTTGGAAATGGTCAGAGCTGGGCTCCAGTTATCTTTTAAAATATCTAGACAAATCACTCCCTAAAAAAAAAAAAACAACTTATCGTGTTAACTCTCCACACCCTATACTAACATCAGTGTATATATTCTCCATACTGTTCTCTATACATTTAATAAGGTGCTGACAAGGAGAAATTGTTTAACAATCAATAGCTTCTTTAGTCGTTGATCATTTCCTTTAGTCTCCTGACCTTAATGTGTGGTTCAGGGTGATATTGTAAGGAGAAATTAGATGCTAGTCACTTTTAGGAGTCAAAAGTGTGGAATGACGTTCAGAACCCCGAGGCAATAAAATAGTTATCTATCAAATGGACAAGAAGAAAAGATCAGTATCTATAGTATGTATGTATGTATGTAGGTAGATAGGTAGGTAAGTAGGTAGGTATGTATGTATGTATGTATGTATGTATGTATTTACGATATTTAGACAAGCCAACCCAGTTCAGCTTGAAGCTGGTTTAAATGGGGGCTTGTACATCCCACCATCCCACCCCAGGGGAGGACATCCATAACACGGTAATCTGCTGTTCATTTGCATTTGAGTGACTGTTGATGTACTTATCAGACATTAGCATAGTATCTTCGATACTGGGATGGCGCTCGCTAATAGGTTAGACGCCGACGCTTAAGCAAGTCCCGGTGGGGTACCCTAGTTTAGTCCCTTCTTAGCCTTAGACAGATGTCGTTGTTACTCCAACTCAGAGTTGAATTCAATTTTCCGGAAATTTGGCGATGAACACACAGATAATACAAGAACAAAAAAAAGCTGTCCGTATATTGTCTTGATTCTGACATCTTCTTTCTAAAGTAAATAACTAAGTTATCTCAGATGACTTTGACGCGATCAACTGTGTTTGCGCATTTCAAACTGATTGGCATAATATCACGTTTTCTCATTCCTTGCTTTTGTTTTCTTTTCTTAGAGCAAATTAAAGTAACTTATTTTCTATTCTCTGTTACAATGTTTCCAAATGTCTCTCTTATTGATCAGGAATGGTTGGATATTTCCGATCAAGACCAAGGCTCTCGAGAAAAAAAAAATAGAAAACTGTAATACACGAAAAATAAACAAGAACCCTTCGACATTCTACACAGTGGGTTCACAAAGTCTGTGCATATATTTAGTCTAGATGTCCTAATTATACACTGATGTAATATTTCACTTTGGTATCCTTAGAAAAATACAACTGCCAAGATCTGCTCGTAAATTTTTGCCATGTTTGACTATACAGCCATTTTATTGTAAAAGGCTCATTCATTCCTTATTTCCCTGTTCCGCCCAGTCACTATCTGACTATAAATGTATATATTCGTATGTCGCATGAAGCAGTTAAAAAAATGTTAAAACGTTGAACTGAAACAATACCAGCTTTTGTAACCATCAATCTCTGCAGGAGTCAGATCACATTGTAGGTTGTATACAAACATAAATTCAGGTTTCTTGAGCAGGAGATGGAATTAAGCTAGTTTTGCGAGTTTTTTCTTTTCAAAGGGAGGCATTATGCTTTAATAATTGAACCTGTTCGAAATTCGTTTGTAAGCCGAAATGCAAAAATCAAATTTTAAAAAAAGTTCTCACCTGGCTATTGACATTACAATGATAAATTCTTGTTCGAAAAGTTACCTTCGGAGAAAAAAATAGAAAGTGTACATTGCATAAATAATCAAACTTTTGACATATTGTTAACTCTGTTATTTTTGTAACGCCACAAATTTTTACCTGTTATGAACTATTTGACACCATTTCGTGAACCTCGCACGGTCTAAATATGTCTAGTATAGGTTTACTCGTTTCCCGAAAATAACCGGATAACAGAATATACGAAAATAAAGTTATTTTCAGAACGCTGGGTCACTCGGCATATGATAACGATTGACATCGTTCAGAGCTAATACTGCTTTGAAAAATGTAGTAAAGAACATTGTTATTATTCCGAGAAATGCTCAAAATAATGAGCTGATATGGACAAAACTCTCCTTATTAGGATTATACAAAAAAAGTGCAAATCTTTGCATGAAACAAGTTCGAGAATGTAATTTGATAACGCAACATTCATTACATCGACTTAAAATCTTCGGGTTGAAAATACCTCTAAATTAATATTTTAAGTACGAAAGTTTCCTCTCTTAGAAAGCGAGAATTAGAGACCGACATGTCATGAATTTGAAGAACCTACTACATTTGCTAGGATAATATTTTTAAATTCATACCTTGGGTGGTTTAAAAGGATAATCTGTAGGAAAATGAATATCGAGGAAGAACACTCCTCCTTCATAGACTGACTTTGGTGGACCGAGAATGGTGGAGTTCCACTCGTACAGATTGTCGCCTTTAGGACCAGCGCTGTAGCAAAAAGGGCAAAAAAAAAAAATATTGCGTCACGAACGAGTTTTAAGCTGTGAACATAACTGAGAGGCGTTGAAATCTCCTGAAAGCGAGGATAGCAAACAAAATGACCTCTGAAGAAAAATCATTATTTTCTAACAACGATTTTTTTTCATTAGTATACGAGCATTTCGATTTTGTTTTAACTAGTCATTTACAAGATAAATGCTCAAAAAATGTTAATATTGTGCGGCAATGTCTATAAAACAAGTGTTTAATCAATCTTATTTTTAAACGTCATGCGAGATAGTAAACACCAGACATAAAGACGCGAAAATGTATTTATGATAAGTTGTGGCAATCTGTGTTTAAGAAGTGCGCTAATTAGGATCCACAAAATTCGATTAAAAAAAAAAATTCGCAAGCCTACATGAATGCGTGACACCGACCCGCAACCAATCTAGTTTTCTTAAAAGTTTCCTTCCTAGAGAATACTTGAGATTCAATATTTGTAATAGTCATGTAAGTCTAAGAATCAGGAAAGAGCGAATAAATTAAACTGAATTTTTACAATCGTCAGTGATTTCTGACTGCCGGACATTCAGTTCACTATAAACCGTGCCCGGCTGTCGCGCATTTAGACAATTTCAGGAGCTGTGGATAGAAGTAAAGGAAGAATTTCTCTTACCTTTATGAAGATTCTTAAAACGTCAATTTATCTTTCATCGATAACTGGCTCTACAAAAGGACTGTTTTCGCTAACAATCACTTTGATAACCTTAAAAGGTCACTGATTAGTCGAAATGTCAATGAATTGAGAAATTCGTTAGTCCGTTTTCCCACTGAGCTGCTTAGACTAAAATTTCTTTTCGCTTAAGTTGCTCAAAATATTTCAAGAAATTCCATTTAGGGGAAATGCGGCAATCATTCCAGCCGTAAGTCAACAAAAGAAAAATATCAATAAAAAACAGTAACAACGACTGAACGTATTTCTCGGCTCTCTGTGACAACGGGTGAGTTAAGAGACTTGTCTTATGGAAAAGCTTTTCAGAAATTTTCATGATTCTTTGGAAAATTACCTCAGCAGAAATTTTTTGAGGCCTAATCAAATGGCTTTTAACGTGTGCGTAAGCGATTGTATTCCAGACGGAAATAAAAATCGGAGAAGTCAACTATAAATCTTTCGGGAGCATTGCTTTGCTTTGTGTCATTTGCTGAATGTGAAACACTTTGATAGGAATATGTGAAAAGCTCATTGGCGTGCGCGTGCGATTCGTCCGTCCTCTTATTGAGTGATCGATTGAGCAAAAATGATTTAAATACGCTATAAAGCCAGACTGAAATAGGAGTTTTGTTGGTCCAACAATTAGCCTTAATCACTGGAGTGGAAATTTTCGGAATGATCATCTAGTTTTTGACACACAATTTCAAACGATTAAATCTACGAAATAGCGCTTCTGAAAATCTGAGCCTTTGATTTGAGTGCGCCATCGAGGTTTCAGGGAATATCTTAGACTTAACTAATTTTTTAGGGATAAAATTTTTAAGTTCTGATTCATAATTGCCACCATGCCATGAAGCCTGGAGAACGAACAACTTCATGCAACGCAGATGACAAGCAGCCGTTGTTATGTAAACCTCAACCGCCAACATTTACTGTGATATGAGGCAGGTGTCCAAACTCTCTTTGCATAAATTATGAACACATCCAGATCTCGAAATCTTCCGTCTTCGAAGCGGTGACTAAAGTCGAGAAATACGAGCCAGTATTAGCCTCACAGGGCGTTCAATGTGTCCTAAAGGTTGTGTGTTTACCGTGTTCAAGATAGAAATAGAAGTGAAGTACGACATTCTAAAAATATACAATGAGCTCCGACGCATAATTAGTTTTGGCTTTGGTAACAAAGCCTTCGTACACTTTAAAATACCTCACAACGCCTTAATATCATCTTATCAGTTCTCAATAATTGACTCAAGCCGCTTTCGTTTAAATTTGGAAGAAATTTTCTTGGCTCGGTGTGGTTTTTTTGCAACTGAATAGAGGAACCGGCAGTTCACCGAACTCGTGATGAAAGTTTCTCAACATGCTTCATTCACAATACGAAACAAAAACCGCAAACCATTGTTTTCCAAACAAGAGGTTTGAAGGGTGAGCGTCTTCTGAAGGACTGAATTACCTACAGTTCGGTGGCGGCTCTAAAGTGATTTCTGCTAATTCCCTCTGAATTCTGAAAATAAAAAGTACAACAATTAAGTGTAGGAAAACCAATCTGTCAATGCCTCCTTTTAGCAGAGCTGATAGTCCCAATTCCCAACTGTGGAAGACAAACAAAGATAAGGCCTTACGTCAATATCGGAGATCACAAATAACCCTCTGCCGCGAAACCGAACTCGCGCTCGTTCTCGCGAAATTCGCGCAGTTTTTCCAGATCTGATCAAATCAGGTGATTCTTTGACACATTTGCTAAAAATCAAGCTATTTCTGAACGCAATCGGTCATGAATCAAGCGCGAGCGAGCTTGACAAAGTTAACATGCAAATTACCGATCAAACTCCGCATCAAGTGAACAAGGACTTTGGTGTTACATTCACTTCACGCTACAACGAACCTCGAAATTAGACAACCTCATACCCCGTGTGAACCTGCTTGCTTCGAAAAAAGTCTTTTTGTGAAAGAGGTGAATAGAATCTGGGTCGCAGAGGTAACAAAACCAAATTCCCAAGGTCTACCTTTTAACAGCAGTAGATAGTGTCTTAGGCGATCTTGACGTTCCCCCTTTCTTATCACGAAGCTCCCTTTTCAAGGTCGATGCTCGTGTGTTGTCATTCTCCTCAGCTGTTGGCCGGTTTGCCTGTTCTGCTGCTCGCCCAGACATCTAGATAAAAACTGTGTTTAATACACATACAGATATAAAGAAACCTCACTCAAATAGCACGCGGAAATTGTAAGAGCCTTGGCGACTTGGTGTGCGTAAAGCTGTAACACAAGCAAGCCGGCCGCTCTAACGTACAGCCAAATAGGAATTATTTCACTACACGAAATGGACCGACGAATTCTTTCATAAATGGACTACAACCAGGACTGCTTTCAAGAGGCAAACGATTCGCGATCTCGAGAAAATGCAACACTTTAGCATTGAGAGAGATTTTCAAGAACAAACATGGCCGCCACCAGATGTCCTTGTGGTTACATCGCCAGATATAAAAAACTGCGCAAAACCTGCTCGTGTTACAACAGAACTCACCCCAGAACACTCACAGTGAAATCAAGTGTGTCTCTAGAAGGTTTTTGGACTCGTTCAACTCGTCACAAAGGCAAAATACGGGAATGAACTTTAAGCTCACAGCCCACCCGTCATGTAGGCGTCACAAATGCCGTCTGCTTGGAAGATGTTGAGTATTTCCGCCTGTCAACGCGATGTCAGCAATTAATTAATGGTATGGTGCGTAGACTCTAATTTAGTCCAAAGAAATATCTCTCTAGGACCAATCGCTTTAATTGAAAAAGGAGTTATCAGTCGAATGTGGGTTAATACTCGTTACTTTCAACCTATCTTCGAGGTCTTGTAAATTGATTAGCAGATAAAAGGTTCGGCACACCGCAATTGAACCTCTGCCTACATCAGGCATTTTGACATGTCACAAAGATTTAAGCTTTATAAGAGGATTTCGCATCATATTTAGAGATTTAAGCACCATTTTCCATACCTGTGTAGCGAGTAGAACGTTGGAAATCATTTTTATATGGAAAGTGTCGTCAAGCGATCTGTTAGACAGCTTTTTGGCAGCCTGATTTTGCGAAAGTAGCGCTTACAGTGACGACCCAAACATATCATCTTTTAATTGAGCTAGAAGGTAATCTGTTTGTTGGATTTGTCTAGCCGTGCTAAGGACAAAATGAGGTTTATATCATTTGGTAAAGCTATTTGCAAGCATTTCAATATTTGATTTACGACTGGTAGCCAGTTTTTTTCATGAGTAGCACCTGTTTGGAAATCTGAATACACAAATAAGTTACATGAACGGTGAATGAAACTTTCCATTGCGGGACAATAAACCTGTGATTGCAGCGAATCATCATCACATTAGTCTTCAAAATAAAAGATTCATAGAGTGCCGTATTAAGTACAATGCTATCAATCTAAATTTCAGACTTAAATGGTGACCTAAGAAAGCATCTGCACAAGTTTTCCATTTGCCAGAAGGAACGGTGAGCAATCCAAGAGTTTTCTCACAAGGGCAACGACTTAGTTTTTTCTCCTGACAGATGGAAACGGCAACGAAAGGCTGTCTGAATTCAAGTTTCCGGATCGATACCGCACTCGATCAGAGTTTGTCACTTTGTCTTACCGGCCGAAAGAGCCTTTAACTACCAAAAAGTCAAATGAAAATTCATTTTAAAGTACTGTTATATTTTTGTATTTTTGAAGATCATAGAGTTGTTGTTGTTGTTGATTTTTGCTAATGTACTTGAATGAAACAAGAATTATACAATAAATCGTTAATCAGCGCCATCAGTTCAGAGAACTGTCGTATCAATACAGAAAAACAAGGTTACATTGCCAATTGACGGCTGCTTTGATATTTGCTAAATGTTCAATTTATCGCACATTAGCTCGTAGATTATTTGAATAAATTCATTTTCTAAAAGAAAATCTTTTTCAAAATAATTTTCTTCAGGATCAAAGCTTTAACCGGTTGTTCATCAAATTTAGTTGTTTTCTTTTTTTTTTTTTTTTTTTTTTTTTTGGCTCTTTACAAAATGCCTGGTTTTGTAGAATAAGATTGTATTTGGAAAACAAGACTTTCAATTTCTGCTGTAACAGGATCTTGTGTTTACCCAATGTTTCGGTTTGTTTATTCATTCGATGGTCAGACTTTCATTACAAAGTCAGAAGCCATTTGTTTGACTTTGAAGAGCCTAATAACAACTAAAATCATTTATGTTTTGTCTGTAATTTTAGGCAAGCATTCCTTGAAACAGATTTCGTCGAGTTGTCATTAAAGTTCTCGGTAAAAAGGACTTTTATAATAAGCGCTAAATTAAACCATTCAACTCGTTATCAAACCTTTGTTCGTCTCTCTTTCGTTCTGGTTTATCTGCGAATATGATTTAAAATCATTAATATTTTATGAGCTCTACAACAAGAAAATTTGCATACTTACCGTCGACTGATCAGACAAAATAACTCTCCCCCAGAATATTTCCTTGGAGTAGAGTTTTAAAAACTACAAATTCTAATCTTGTAATTAACAGATCATTATCTGTGTTAATCGGGAAAATAGGTTTTTTTTTTTTTTTTTCTTCTGGTGTCCCCTTGGGAATAGTTTCTTGCGTTGTCGAGCGTGCGATTTACTGAAGCGTGAAAACTTCAATAACACTTCAAAACAATGGCAAATATTTTGTTTAAGTCCGCGCAATAGAGGCATTGTTCAAATGGTTATTAACGAGTTTGTACAACAACAGGACTACAAAAACATTTAACATGGCCTTTTTTGTTACAACTATAGACTGCTGGTACTAATGTCAAGGAAAGGACGAACCTCAGTGTTACAGGTAATAAGCTTAGGTAAAGTGATTTCAATAACCCCTGAGAAGTCTTAAAAAGGCGTTTTACGAAGTGATTGGATAAAATTTAAATCCTTTGCCCTTCTTTATTGTACATTCCAGTACCTAAAATCTGAACATTCTGTTTGTTATTGACATATAAAAAAGGCTGATCAACTTTTATCCAAACGATTACAGAACTGAAATATATATTCAGGGCATAAAAGAAATAACTTAAATAAATGAAATATTCTTGGAGGGTTCTTCTTAAAACCGCAATTTCCGACATTTTGCCAAACAAGGACACATGTTGTTCGATTGTTGCAAAACGCCATGTTATCCAAGTTAGGTTATAAGAAGTTGAAAGTGCATGATCAAATGAATGAACTTTACCTATGTTCGAGAAATAATAAGGCGGAATTTAAAATTTATTCGATACGCTGTGATCTCAGTAGTGGTTTTATAGTGGTTAAAGGAAATTGTAGAATCCTGGCAACTTTGGCAAACCGCAGTGGTTTGAATTTCACTTTAAGAAACTTGCGGGCTTCCCATTTGCAAATTTACAATTTAGTGAGTGAGACTATTCCTCTCCTTGTCTGAGGCCTTTCAATCTCCGGTTTCACAGTTGAATTTCTACAATGCTTTTCAAAGAACAAACAAAGTCCTTGGAACCATTATTTGTATTCGACTCGAAGGTGTCAATCAACAGACGACGGGCATTGTTTTATTCCGCTGGGAATCGCAGACAGCTGTTTCGTGTGATACTCGACCTCCTTCAGAAGCTCACCACACACGGCATGTGATTGGCCGATCGTCTCGTCATGTTGATGGCCGATAAATTAGTATTATGACGCAGTCTATTGATAACTTAATGACGTCTTTCCTTGACAGGCGGAGACGAATAGTAATGCCTTGCGCGCTTGATTAACGAGTCAAGAACAGGCTCGGCAGCTGGGATAAGTGCTATAAGGCCGAGAAGCTTGATCCATCTACGGTTTGAGTTATCTTCAAACCATTCATAATCGTCACATCAACACCGAAACAGTCCATTTTCACTGTGAAAGGTTAGGACATCATTTAGGGAGTACGTGAGTGTTGTTTATATCACTGTATCACCAATCATTTGTTCATATTCAACCGTGCCGTCTAAAGAGTTTCCTTCCGACCGCGCCAGACATGATCTATCGAGCCGGGGAAGTTTAATTTCGGGAGGCAGAAATCCCAGTAAAAACGAACGGAGATCGCATCTTTACAAGTAGAAATTATTCTTTGTCTAAAGGCCTTGTTATGAGCGATAAAATGATTGCATTACAGATCACGGCGAACTCGTAGGCAGAGTATAACGGGAAGCGTTCTGAATCTGGCTGAATAGGCCGCCATCATTTAAGTGTGTCACTGCCCTTTAATCAAATCTGTCTTAAGACTGTCACGTGGTGTGCTCATCTCCTCCAGTTTTCCGTGTGAGGCATTCTATCATCAGAGCATGTTTATTCGCCGTATTCAGACTGTGTGGGCGCATGAAATTTGTTTTGCCATCATTGGGTCTGACGAGTGTCTTTAGGTGTCAAACAGCGCGCCTATGTAAGTGAACCTCAGTGAGAAATACTCGGCTATCAAGTAATAAAGTTCATTTCCACCATCTTAGGGGTCGCGGCCAAATTCACTGATTCACTTTGTGAAATCCTACGCGTGCCTTATCTTAATAACGATGTCAGAACACACCGCGTTGAGTTCTTCGTCTAATGCCGATGACAGAAGAACTGTCCAGCAGAATGAGGGCCCATCATCAGGAACTGCGGGCACAAAGCGGGCCGCTCGCAGCCGCGGGGCCACCTCTCGGCCCGTGAAATCTGCGTCCACCTCCGCTAAGAGGTACGTTCAATGCCGTAAAGCCGCAGATTGCGCATAATTTCCACAGGATAGTTTAGGTGGAGACAGCAATCACATCGATTCATCAGATCGTCTCTAATTTGCATGTTAACTTCACATCGTCCGCGTTTTCTGTTCTCTCGACTGAAAGCCGATTTATTGGCCTTGATATTGCCAGGAGAGCCTAATACACTGTTTTCAAGTATCGGCCTTGAAATTTATCAGATCTGAGATTGCCAGACTCTCAATGCTACTAAAGATGTTCTGTAGAGGCCTAGCTTCATTAACATATTTCCTTTCTCGCGGCAGTCTCTTAATCATAAAATGTAATGCTTTATTTTCTTTGATGTATTTTATTTCAGAATTCAACGAGAACTGGCTGAAATTGCCTTGGATCCTCCACCAAACTGCAGGTAACCCTCTCTCCTTCTTCGACCTCAAAATGCGATGCTGGACTTTTGAATTTCTTGTTGGGTGTCAAAACAATAGGATTGCGGGTTTTGGTTCCTGAATAGTAAGCTCTCTTTTAAACATGTCCTGGCTCTTTCCCGTTTTAGCGAAAACAGGATTTACCACACAAGCTTAAAAACCAAGCAGGCGGAACAATCGTCAAATATTTCATCAGTTAGGGAATTTCTGCCAATGAATCAGACACACAAGGCTAAATTATTTATTTTAAAGTGGTAAAGACATTTAATCTAGCCACGTGGGTTATAAAGTCTTTCTTTTGTTAACTTTAACAAGGTATGCTGAAAAAGCGAGCAACACATGGATGCTTCTTTACATTTTGAATCTGGGCGACTTATTTCTGTGGCTAAAAAATTAAATTAAATATCAGCAGATTTGCTCTTAAATTTCACAAACGTTTGTTCAAGTTTGCGGTGAGAAAGTAATTGATACATTGAATATATAGGAGTTTCGATTCTTTGTTGCTGGAAGCATCCCTCTTGATTGATTCTTCCATGTTGTGACATATTGTATGTAAATCAACAATTTCTCAGACACCTGCTTACGGATTATTTTCTTATTTTTGCGTCGCACAGCCAATAATTTATAAAGCTCATTTTATTCGATTACTGGTAGCAGTCGAATTGGAAATTATTTCAATTTTATCGCAATGTTTTGCTGTTTATTCTTTTCAGTTTTATCCCAATTTCGTCCGCCGTTGGTACCAGCAGAATATCACTCGACATGAATTTTTAAGTTTCGGTGAATCGAGAGCATTTTCAAGTAATATCTAAAAGAGATTTTAAGAGCGCTATTAAGTTTGCCGAAGGGCGAGAATAAACGATCTTTTCTCCGTCGGGCACACGATACTCCTGAATGCATGTCGAAAAGGGAAGATAAACCATTGAAGTTGTCTCCTTTTTCGGCAAATGAACTAAATTTTCCGTTCTCTTAATTGTGTCGGAGATTTGTCACTGCACGCTTTGGTCAATTTGAATACTCATAATGCACGATCAAACTTACGATATTTATTATTAACGTCAACGAAACTTGTAGTTTTTCATGCATTAAAAGCCGCTTTCTGGAAAAACTTTCACACTAAGCGGAAACTTGGCAGCATTCGTTGTTTCTTTTCTCCCGTTCACGCAGAATTTGCATTGTATAATACTGTTTGATTACTGTGTTTGTAAAACCCTTTTGTTCTGCTAATGACTTTAACACCGGTTATTTGAAATTTGTAAATTTGTTTTGGCAAACGGCTCGATCCAAACGCATTTCGGTTGTCTGAGTAACTCGGCATTGAAGTTAAAAATCACGAAATAACCTTTTGACTTTGTCGTACGAAACTTAAAATCTACAGCTGCTGTTTTAGAAAAGAATTGCCGCTTTTGTCCTTTAAATTTACTCTTTTAAACACACTTCAAATTGTAAAATTTAAGTCAGATTTTAAATCTACTGCGCAACGCTACTTACTGATATGGTTCCGTGCTAACTAATATTTCAACAGTTTTTCCTGCCATTAGAGGGGCACAGCATGATTTTGTGAGCGATTTGAACGATGTCAGCTCCAGCTCTTGTAAGAAAAAATTTGTAATTCACATTTATGGACAATCACATTTATCCCCGCGAAGTGGTTTTATTGGTGAAACGCAAACCTTCTTCGCTTATCTCAAATGAACTGATCGAGAATCTTAAGCTAAACCATAGAATTAGGACAATTTAAGGCTGGATGGTAACAACGGCAGATTACTATTCAACATTTCCAAATTTAGCCAATTTCTCTTCGTCTATCATTCACTTTATCTGAGCTTTGACCTTTTCGCGCTCAGATTTAAATAGCCTTTCTCAAGTGGAACGTGATAATGTGAAATGGTTGACTTATGCCTTATAAACCCTGGAAAGCTCTTGTTTTCATGAAAAGAGCGGAAGTGTTTAGAGTAAAGGTCGCCCAGAAAGGAAGTATTGGGTTTTTAAGCTATAAATCTCATGGGATTTTTCAATTCTCCCAAGAGCGACGATCTCGCCTAAGACAGGTTCTAAGGGCCGTCAAAAATAAACACTGAGATACTTAGAAGTACAACAGTTTTACAAGTTATTTTTGCAAAACGTTCATTCTGGGTGGTTCAATCTATGACAAATGTAAGTTAAGCTGTAGCTTTCATAGTTCACATCTCCGGATGTACAATTCCTTGAATAGTTATTAGTTTACATCTTCTAAAGTTACACATTATCAGACATTAAAAACCTTGTTTTCGCTCGGTCTCAATTTCTGTCCCGCCATTGTCTGATTCCTTGCTGGAACAGACTTTCGTTTTAAAAGACAGAGGAACCGAGTTAAGGTTTTCGTTCTTCCCAGAACAAGATTTACTCGACAAATCTTATTTGTTTGCCAAATCAGAATCGCGAAGATAGATTTTATCAAAACATATAAAAATAGACAATGCTTGTCTTCTCTGATCTAAAATAGTCAACATGATAAGGCCTTATTCCTTGCCTTCTTTCGCGCCCGTTTCACGAGGGATCAACATTTTATTTACTCGACAATCTATTTATTTGATTCCCAATTCGAAGTTTTAATCGATGGGTAACTGTATTGCCATAGTAACACTGCTTCCTTTCGTGCAGGCAGGATTCACCTTTTGGTAAATTAAAGGAAACTGTATTGTTAGCTCAGAGCCACCTTAACATATCCCAAAATTAAGGGAAATAAATTAAAGAAACACTTCCAAGTGTTAAACTCTCTTCATACATACATTCTTCATTGAAGGCGTCATTTTCATTCATTAAAATTTTTAACACTGTCAGTGACCGAAGACAATTAAAAGGGGGCACTTCAAAGCGACTCGGGACGTCCTGTCTATTGTGCAGGCTGCTGTAGCTTCTGTTTCATGTTACGAAACAGCTATGCAGTACTTCTGGTATTCCATGAAATTTTCGTGTATACTTCACTTTTTTGCAGCGCTGGCCCGAAGGGAGACAATCTGTACGAGTGGAACTCGACAATACTCGGCCCACCTGGATCAGTATACGAGGGAGGAGTTTTCTTTCTCGACATTCATTTTCCTTCGGATTATCCTTTCAAGCCACCAAAAGTAAGAATTCATATGGATAGAGCTCTTTTCGACTGAGTATCGTAAAACCAAAACCAAAGAAATCACAACGGCCAATCAGATGACAGGAATATACTTAAGGGAGCCAATGAGAACTCACAGTAAATAAGCGCGGGAAAACGCGGGTGATCAAGTCGTTACTGGCGTTAGTTTTGCATCCGATTGGTCGAGAAAGTAGTGCGAGTTTTCTGGACTAATCACAGAGTGGAGTAAGGCAAAACCATTGAAATCCCGGGCTGTTTTCGACGCTCCGTTTAACTGTGACATAACTAGAGACTGAGGATGGTGAAGTACAGTCAAACTCCCCTCCTGTTACCATAGCGTACTAATTCTCTTTATCTGCCTGTGATTCAAAGAGGAGTTTAGTGACGCCGACTAGTTATCACTAAATTGCAGTTAGCATGTCAGAAGTCATCTTTTTAACAAACTTCAAAGAAATGAACACATACGGTTAAGAGCTGACTTGGAGTTTGAAAATGATGTGGGCACCATAAACCAATCGCGCGCAAAACAAGGGTTTGATTAAAGAAGTGGTGCCTTACAAATATGGCGATTTAACGAAGCATTGTGTATTTGATTTGTTTACAGGTTTCTTTCCGCACTAGAATATATCATTGTAATATCAACAGCCAGGTAAGTCTGGCCTTTTGCATGTTATGATTTTGTCATCAATTGCCCATTATTGCCCTGCTGTGTAGACGTCCTATTAACCTGCGATCAAACCCTTGAGCCCGCAGAGGTCTGCAAGGGAAGTAGCAGTATTAGTGTCAGACCTCCGGCAAACCTCTCCTCGGCTCGTATCCAATCTTCCCGCGGACGAAAAAAACGCGCGTCCTGCGGCTCTTATAACAAGGAACTTGTGAGTTGACGTGATCTTTAATAGATCATGAGAAGCATCAATATACGTACGTAATTAAACTTAACGTATAATACGAAATACATAACAACTAGTGCACCTAATCAGATTTCAGAATTTGTGATAGAGCGCTAGTAGATTTATGTTAAAAGTTGGCGATGGAAAACTTTCAGGGAACGAAATGTTTAGATGGCTGCGATCGTTCTTCTTTACGTCCTCCTTACCAAGGACTCTTTCGCGGGATGGCACAGGGAAGGCAGGAAGAAGAGAGAGCCTGGGAGCAAGATGGGTGAATAAGTGGAAAGCTGTGGTGATCATAGGCAGTGGAGTTAACAAAACTGGACAAGAAATTTAATTTCTATTATCATTTGTCTTCATTCCAGGGTGTGATTTGTTTGGATATTCTTAAAGACAGCTGGAGTCCGGCTCTTACTATATCAAAAGTCCTTCTATCCGTCTGCTCATTACTCACAGACTGTAATCCAGGTAACTAAGAGCGATTTTGAATTGATTGTGGAAACTAATCCGGGATTACTTTGGTTTATCTTTACGTCGCTGTGGTTGGTCCAAAGCTCACACCACTTTCTCAACCAATCAGATTCAAGACTAAAACTAATCCAGACTTGGTAACCCGCGTTTTCCCTAAGAGGGACTAGCATCTAATTTCTCCTTACAATATCCCCCCTGGATCACACATTAAGGTCAGGAGAATAAAGGAAATGATCAACAACCTAAGAAACTCTTGATTGTTAAACAAATTCTTCCTGTCAGCACCTAGGGAAATGTATAGAGAACAGGAGGGAGAATATGCATACTGATGTAAGGGTGTAAAGGGTTAATGGCCATTTTGATTACTGCGGTTTTGGTTTTACGACACCCAATCGAAAAACACTTTATCGGAGAAAGTAGCCGACCCTTTAAATCCTGACATCAGTATGTATATTCTCCATACCGTGCTCTGTATTTCCTAAATTGCTGACAAGGAGAATTTATTCAACGATCAAGAGCTTCTTCAACTGGTTATCATTTCCTTTATTCTCGGGAGCTTAATGTGTGATTCAGGGGTGAAATTGTACGAAGAAACTAATCGCTGGTCACTCATAAGAGGTCAACGGGTTATAGCACATGTCGATTGATTAAAAACAAATGGCAATTGGAAAAATCAAGATGATAATTTACGAATCATATATTTGTGTTTCTAAGTTACTTTTCTTTCTATGTCTTTTCTCAGCTGATCCCCTTGTGGGAAGCATCGCCACACAGTTTGTCAACGATAGGGAAGAACACGACAAAATAGCGAAGGAATGGACCAAACGCTACGCAACATAGAAACTGGAAAATTGAACAGAACAGCTACAATTCATCCATCAGGTTTCCAGTTCATGGCTCTAATCATGCACGTGGTGTTTGAAAATTTTCCTCCGAGATAACAAGTAGCGTTGTATCCAGATCTCGCCCTCTTAAAAAGAACGGGTGAGGCTTGGGAACGACATTAGGAACGTGCGTGCGCCGTCTGAAATGAACTATTTTTGCTTTGGTGTTGTTGGAAATAGATAGTTTCGAGAGCGTTTTTTCTCTCTCGCTGAACGCTAACATTATAAGAGGTAAATGATTCTTGTGACACTCAATGTTTTCAAAACCCAGTAATTCAGACGAATATTTACAAAATTTAAGAAAGGTTGGATAATTTATTTTTCTTCTAAGAAAACTTAGGTAGAAAAGCGAGCTTGAAAAATATCTTTTCGAGGTATTCTTCCGAGAGGCATCTTTAAATGACATTCATTTCGATAAAAGTTTTGTCGCGATTAACGACGTAACAAAAATGCTGTTAAAATTTGCAATCTGATAGAAAGAAAAAAGGTTGAAATATTGTCAGACTATAGGTGTGTATAGAGGTTTTGCACAGCAGACATGTTGGATGGCAGGAACAATGAAAATATTTTGCATAAGAAAGAAATTTTTTCCCGTGGGTAAAATAATCTATTGTTCCTACCATCCAACATGGCTGCTGTGCAAAACCTCTATAGAATAAATTTGACAGTTCAAAATTCTTATTTATGCTATAGCGAATGTAAATAATAAAGGTTCTTTATTATCTGATATTAGAATGAGTTATTTCTCATACAAGTGAACCTCTTCAGTTGAACATTCACATCATCTCGAACATAATTATTTAATCACCTTGGAAGGCGCGAAAAACGGTACCATAATCAGAGGGGTACTCATTAGATTTCCTTTATTTGGTCACAGACCACCGTTTCATCAACATACTCAAACTTAAGAAACACCTCGTACCTATGGCGTCCCATCGGTGCCAAAATTGAACATTGCGATTTGACATTGTACTTTTTGTATTCTTCCTTATTTCGCGATTGAACATTCAAGTTTTTATTCCTTATGAAACTTTTTCCGATTCAACTTGTCTTTTTTACAATTAAACTTCCAAGTTTCAAGTATTAAACATTGTACTTCTCGTAATTCCACTTTGTAGTTGTGGCAATGCAATATTTTTGTACTTGTGGTATTGATATATTCAACATGCAGTGCTTCGCGCTATTCAACATTCAACTTTCCATCATCCAAACGCAACCCAGCTATTAACGAAGGAGCGCAGGCTCACTAAGGTCAAGTACCTCATGTAAGCCTCATAACTTCGTACGAGGTTATCTTGTGAGATGAAAAATGGACGATATCTCGTATTTGCTGGACTGTGTTCATAATATCCTAGCTTAAACTATAGTGTGTACCTGACACACATAGTCCATATGACATCATTCTTCTCTTAACTGTCCTGCAACTTACTCCAAGCATAGTAGCAATCTCTTGCAATTTAAAACCTTGTTCAATTAAATATGAGAGCTGTTCTTTGCTTATTACGTACGAGGGTCGTCCACATCTACCATCTTGTTGCACACTAGCGCTATATCCTCCATAAGAATCCTCAGTTCTTTCGATTTCTACCAGCAAACTATGAGCTCTTCCCATGGTTTCTGTTATGAAATCATCGTTGTCTAGATTTACCAACATCCTTTGCAAAAAAATCTACTTTACCAACAAGAAGCTGAACATTTCCATGACTGTTATGTTCGCCTTGAACATTACTTAAAATGTCTAGGCTATTATGAACACAGTCCAACAAATACGAGATATCGTCCATTTTTCATCTCACAGGGTAACCTCGTACGAAGTTATGAGGCTTACATAAGGTACTTGACCTTAGTGAGCCTGCGCTCCTTCGTTAATAGCTGGGTTGCGGTTGGATGATGGAAAGTTGAATGTTGAATAGCGCGAAGTACTGCATGTTGAATATATCAATACCAAAAGTACAAAAATATTGCATTGCCACAACTACAAAGTGGAATTACGAGAAGTACAATGTTTAATACTTGAAACTTGGAAGTTCAGTTGTAAAAAAAGACGATGTTGAATCGGAAAAAGTTTCATAAGGAATAAAAACTTGAATGTCGAATCGCGAAATAAGGAAGAATACTAAAAGTACAATGTCAAATCGCAATGTTGAATTTTGGCCCCGATAGGACGCCATATCGTACTCCATAGGAAATAAAAAGTACCACATGAAGATATTGCAGCTTTGACTTGGATGGTCACGTATAAATTTTTGCCCACGGACTAAAAAGGTAGAACTACTTTGTGCAGTAAAATGAAACAGTATATCTTATGTTCGCGGGTATAAATAAACTTCTGGTACGACTCAGAGTCATTTTAATCGGAGTCACGGGAGTTAAAATTATCCTGAGAAGGGCCCAAAACACAGAAATATCAAGAACTTGCACAGCACTGATATCATTTTCAATTTGCAGGGCATTGCGAAAATAAAAACGGAGCAAATTCACAATGAAACGGTCTGGACAATCACGCGAGCGGGCTTAAATACGTTCAGCCCATCAAAATCTCCATTTTAACCCGCAAAATGCCCCCTAAATGCCTAACTGAGTGACAATACTACACGGTACCAACCAAGCAAGAGTACTACTAAGTCCCTTTAGTTAAGCTGATTTTTAAATTGAAAAACATTCCTTAGAATGTAACAAGATTTTCAAAAAAGTAACTCAGATATCATCTCGTTTGTAAAAACTAAGACGATATGATTAAATATTAACTGTTTGACGTCATGCGGTAAAGACATGAAATTTTTTCTTTGTAATCCTGAGCTAGTATCTCGTTCAGATATTCTTCAAGTTTAAACTAAACACTGTTCCCCTTGACCCACACGAAACTAAGTTGAAACATAAAGATTGAGATTGCTTTGTAAAATAAAACAGAGAGTTGAGTTTTGGGGTTATTAACCATGGCGATCATAATACAAAAATCAAAGAGCAGAACTTAAAAAGAAAAAAACTACCAACAATATCAGATTTGATCACTCTACAAATCGAATATTTACAAATCTCATCTCAAGTAGGATTCTAAAGTGGTAAAGTTTCAGCTGTGAAAGTAACCCCTGAGCTGCTAATGAGGTTCTGCGAAATATGAATTTAAGTTTGGTTTTTGTTTATCGAGTCGGAATGCGAACATCCTAGTTTACAGCTTGCGCAAATAGTCCTCGCTCGGCACTTTTAGTGAAATTTCTCAAAGTACATTTATTTTGACTAAGCTTCTATATCGAAATGTTGCACTTTTTAAAGCAAAAACGGTAAACTTGATCGTCAGAAATGAGATTGTCATTAAATATTCATACGCATCCCTCTCAATTAAGACGGTAACAGAAAACGAAATGGCTTCTTTCAGGAGTGAACTGGCCTTTGTTTTTCCTTAAATGTGTTTTACACTTGTCAGCCGGCCTCAGCAGTTGGTCATAATTTACCCTCAAATTAAGCGCGAGAATGATTTTTCATTTATTCGATCCACAATTAAAAGGGCACTTATGAAGCAAAATCGATATTTAAATTCGAGTTTCTTCTAAAATTACAATGAAGATGCCTAATTAATATTATCAACGGAAGGTTGCATATTTTATTCGTAACCTCGAATCCCCCAATGGCATTAAAGTTTAATTATAGAGCGCCAGTTTTTGTCGTGCCCTTAAAACCAAAAAGAAGAAAACATCAATTAACGTGGGCGAAATAACTGGAAGTTACTAAAACAAACGGATGTCCGCTCCATAACCAAACGGGTGAGTGGTTCGTGTAGAAGAAGGAAACAGATGCTGAGGTCATTAAGGAAAAAAAGTTCACGGTTAATTCCAAAATTGCGCACATATTCGTTGAAGCCGAATTCAATCGCAACCAGATATAAATGATGAATAATTCGTTTTGCGAACATATAGGAGGTTCTGTTCCGGCAATAAACACCACAAATTCAGAAGAACTACCAGATTTTCTTGCACAGAGAATTCTCCAACAGATATTTTATGGCGTCATTTTCGTACTTAGTATGGCGGGAAACGCAGCCATGCTAGCAGTTCTCTTCCATAGAGGATCTCGCCTCCTCTCAAACAAAGACATTTTGCTGCTCAACATGATCGTAGCAGAGTCTGCTGTTGCAATATCCTGCATTCCACTTGACTTTGCTATGTTGTTTTTAAATGATGGTTGGTCGTTCGGCCCTTTAATGTGCCACATTTTATGGCCAATGCAGACAGCACCTTTCGGTGCACTGGTGTTGACTCTCACCGCGATGAGTGTACAACGCTACAAAGGAATCGTGCATCAAATGCGAAGCCGAGATGCAGGTAGGAAATCTTTGTGTGCAACAGTCACCTTTATTTGGTTATTTTCCTTAATAATCGTGGTGCCATACGGCTTCTTTTTGCGTCTCGAGGAAGGACAGTGCAGCGAAACATGGGGAAATATCGGAGCACAAGTGTACACGCTTGGATTGTTCGCCTTCCATTATGTAATTCCGTTAACAATAATCACCTTCTGTTATGCGCGCATCGCTGTTCGCATCCGCCATGGACAACGTGAAGGAGCAAGTATTATTTCGGGGACGCACAAGGCGCGTTTAAAACGCTCGAGGCGCCACGTTCGCGCCGTGCGTATGGTAATTCTCTTTGTAGTGGTGTTCGCGGTTTGCATGTTACCGCATCAAGTAGTTTGGCTGTGGATAACGTTTGGAAAAGGGGTGAATTATTCGGAAAACTTGTTAACCTTTGCTTACATGTTCACTTTTACAAGTAGTTTCGCCAATCCGCTTGTGTACTTTACGCAGAATCCTGCCCTAAAGGCGAAATTGAAAAGCCTCATTCTATGTCGTTCGGCGCCTGATGGTCGCTTTAGAACTGGCAATAACAGTTTCTTAACAACTAGCGACGAAACTTCTGCTGATTCTAGAGTTTGAACTATAGTAGCATTGTGGTAAACTCAACTCCACCGAGAGCCTTCGAGTAAGCAAATGGTGTCTATAGCCTTAAGCTAAAGCCAGTATATATTTAGAAAGGACAATTTCCATTAAATTGTTAAAAATTTGAGTAAATATCATCGCCTCTGGCAAAAATTTCTTAAAGTGCTATGATTTAAATAACTGTCACATTTCTATTCTGCGAAAACTTTTTCACGCGGTCAGTTAAATTTCTGAAGCAAATAGAATTTCTATAGCTACGACATTCTTCGAATTGATTTAAAAGAATTGCCTCGAAAATCAGCGGTAGCGAAAGAGATCAGCGCTATCAAGAGGAATCAGCGCTGAGGAGAGCACTGTTTAATTTTGATGTTTTTTTACGAACAATGACCTTTTTAAAAGCAATCTAACCCCGCAAGGAAAGTGTAAAAGTTTAATGAATTGAGTAAGATTGACGCTCTGATTTTTTTTTAATTTAACTTTTACACATTCAAATTCGGGTCCCCGAATATCTGCGCGACATCAACTATAAATCATTTTCATACTGTTTAAAAGTTTGTTTGTTTGTTTGTTTTATTTTTTTGGTGGTAATTTTATGATCATTATCAGAAACCAGTTATGTGCTTCTTGATGAACCCGAAAATTCCCTAAATTACAATGCCAACAAACTTTCTCTTCAGTTAAATCACTCTTCTCCATTCGTGTAGATTTTACGTGTAAATGTCGATGAGTTTCGAGACCCTTTTATCCGTTTTATTACTGCCGGCAATCAACACATTAATTTTAGTCTATTGGGAGAGATTTCGCCTAAGAACAATATGCGCTCAGCCTGATAAATTTCAATGCGCTGAGATCACCAAGACTTTCATGACGCTTCGTATTAAACACCACAGGCGAAAATCTTACGACAAAAGGTGAACCTGTACACACACAACCAAGAGTCCAGTTTACAGATCGACAGAAAACAGTAATTGCCTTGGAACAAGAGTACGCTAACCTCAGGCAAATAAAACCACACACATATACCATGCACAATGAATGCTTAAAAACCGTCTCATTTGTCATAGTAACCAACCAAAAATTAACTTTAACACGATTAAAAGATTAAGAAAATCCACTCCTGACTTTTTTCCTAATTAATAAAGGTTTACTAAACCGAAAAACAATTTTTAGGCCGCCAAACTTTCTCGGTGGGTCAAGTTGTTTCCACGCTTTTCTTTCTAGAAGTTTCACAATTCAATTTGAAGTTCTCTGAACTTCCTTTAATTTTGAAGTTGTCTGGGACAGTATAGATAAAGATTTTGAATATCAGTTTAAGGCGAATGTATCGTCTCCGGGTAGATAAAATCACGAACATACGGCGTCCCGAAAACTCTGTGTAATGAAGTACATCTGTTTCCATACATTTATTTTCCGAACGCTGGGAAAAAGTTCCGTGACAAAAACATCAACCACCTAAAGTATAGATAAACACTTCAAACACGATCCGTGATACTTTAAGACATGTTTATTCGAAGAGAATTATGCCGCGGTATCTACAACACATCCAAAACCTTTCACTTTTTACACCCAAGTGAAAATTACTGGTTTACACGAGGCATTCTGACACGATAAGCTGAGAGCAGATAATTAAAATTTAGATCGGTGTGTTCTTCCTGCTTTTAAATTCTGCCTTGACTTCGATTTTGGCTCGACGAAACCAAGGTCCCGTCTACCTGGATCAAAATGAATTTCTTAACGGGTTTTTTCGAAATAAGAAAACACGACAAAAGATTTTCGTTCACACTGGCAAACGGAAAAAATGCCTGTCCCTAAAACAACGATGCGTCATTCTTGTTCCCAGACTCCTCATGATGGGGAGTGAAACGAGTGGCTTGGGTAAAGAGAATGCGGACACGCTCGACTGCACTCTTGAACATGCGCATATTAGGAGGAAACATGTATTTCTCCCAGCAAATAATTTTAACTGCTGCCTAAAAACTTTATCATTTCACATTTCCTCGACAGCTATAAAAACAAATTCAATTACGTGCATTGATTAAAATACAGATGAGAAACATGACACCTATTTTCAAGAGGAGAAGTACAAAATTTAACGTTTTTTTTTTTTAAGTAAAAGTAACTGAGTTTTATTGGACAAATGAGATCTTTGTTCTTTTTCTATTCCCTTCGGAGATTTTCCAACCTAAAAGAGAAAGCCGGTTTAAATTCAAATAAGTACATTGGGGAGAACCCTGCTAACTCGGATAGCTAAGGAAAACGAACATCAGCTCAACAGAAGGGTATTCGCCGGAGAAGGCTCATCGTAGAAGTAAAGGACTTCAAATGTGCTTCTAGGGTAATTTAAAGTTTAACAAGGTAATTTTGGTTTCATCAATTTAGCTGATAATGTAAATTGGCCAACGTTAAGAGTTTCAAAGCTGACGTTTCGAGCGCTAGCCCTTCGTCTGAGCGAATGAGGGAGTTGTGTGTGTGTGTGTTTATATGACGAAGGGCTAACGCTCGAAACGTTAGCTTTGAAACTCTTTACGGTGGCAAATTTACATTTATCAACCCCGAGTTGATAAAACCAAAATTACCTTGTTACACTTCTCCGCAGCTGTAGCACCACTGTTCTTTTAGAAACTCACCCCTTTTATTAATTTAAACTTTGCTTTAGCGGGAAGTTCGAGTTAACAATGTTTCATTAAGTAAAAGTAAAACCTTCATCAAATATACGCTTTATTCACTGCGTTTTTGTAGAAAATACGGTACTTTGGATTCTGTTCTCACTTTGGGAGCTTCGACGAACCTCGAGTCTTTCCCGCCTTCAAGCGTTCACCTTTTTTGGCTTAAATTACACGCACTTAACGCCCGTGAGGGGTGCTGCAGTACACACTAGAGGGTACTGTAAGTAATGAGCCCTCAGCATACTTTTGGATCCAGCAGCATTGAAAGCGTCCTGCGTGTATAGAATAAAGATATTTTTAACTGACCTGGCCTGAAGATCGGCATCGGCGTCCGCTACTGCCTGTTTTGGAGCTTCTTTAGCAGCTAAACCTCCGGAAGTGGTCGGAAGTCCCGTAAGCTGAAAAAAAAAAAATGTAGAATATGATATTAACAAAGATTTAGTAATACATAGACAGGTAAAAACGAGCGTTAATTTTATTTTCATTTGTACCCTTGATAATGGCGTCATGAAGTCGCCGAAACGTCGGGATATTAAATCGCTCGTTTTACCTGTCTATGTAGAGTATATACCTCAAATTGATCTAATTCAAAGGGAGGATACCAAAATTCTTTTGAGTTTCCAGCTGAAAATGTTGAATTCTTCTTTATAGTTCGCGATCACTTTCCAGAACTTCCCATCCTTTAATGAATAGGAACACGTTTCTTCATCTTGTCGTGAGCGTGAGATAACGGAAAAATTATGAGTTCCCATGAGGAATCAAACTTCCCTATCAGAAAGCCATCTCAACTAAAATTCCCGCAGAAAGCTTACAGCAGTTTCTAACTGGGTGTCGAAAAACCAAAACCTAAGTAGCCCAAGCGACCAATCGGAACAAGGGTTGACATTGTTATTAGTCAATGAGAACTAGAGTAAAAACAACCCAACTGTCTAAAGCGCGGGAAAACGCGACGACCAAGTCGCGATTGTTTTTAGTTTAACATCTGATTGGTTGGAAGAGGATGGCGCGCGTTCTTTAAATCAATCACAGAGAGAAGTTAAGTAAAAACAAAGCAATTCGGGATTACTTTCGACACTCAATTGAATCCATAGTTCTCATCGTACTTGGAGACTATTGTGAGTGGTTAAAGGTTTGCCGTTTTAGATAGTGTTCACTTGAAGGTTTAACTGTGGTAAAACTTACCTCGTCATTCAGTGTCAGCCCCAACTCATCAAACACTTGCTGTACTATCTGCTCACTTAAGAGGGAAAAAACAACAGAGTTAAAAAATATTGATCAGTGAACTGGACTTAAGATCAACAGGTACATGGAACAAGCCCTGACTGGGTCATTTGTGTTTTGTGAGGAGAACACGCCTAATCTAGTGTGAATCTTATTACTACCCCCCCTCCCTCTGGGTGGGATTCC